TGTATCTCTTCTATTTTGTGTAATACTTGAATAAAGCTCCTTGATATTGACACACATTTATTAAATCTGTAAAAGTTCGCGCTATAGAACGCGCGTTGTTCACATTGTTCAGATAAATCTGATGGACTGCTGGTGGGAATCCGTTGTAGAAGTGAAAATTGACATAGTTTACCGATTTTACAATGACAACCCTCATCATTTATTTTAACAGTGCATTTTTTTAGCTTTTATCTTTTGAAACCCGGTTCTATGCCTTTGGGGAAATATAAAAAAGTATTAAAATGCTTGGTGAAAAAACGATATAAGGAGGAAATCGTAGCAAAAAGGGTGTTAGACCTTTGAGAATCTTGTTAACTCATGTCAATCTAGCAGATAAGCTGTTTATTGAAGTCTCGTTGATTATAAGGATTGAAAGTTCACATTTGAGAATCACATTTTGCAAGCCTGAAACGGTCATCTGGCTCTGACCTATATTTTCCAGATTAGTGTATATAAGCCCTGCTTTAATCAAACTAGCATCTTTTTGTGTCCCTTTCTATTCCGAATAGAATGGACACGAAACCCGTGTCTTGCGACGATGATCAAACTAGCATAAATGAGATTATTCTTGGGGTTCGAACTAGAGCAGTAAAAATATTTTAATAGAGACCAACACACTATCCGTTAAAGCTAACATTATGCAACCTCTGTCATATTGCGACTATTAAATCATATTTGTGAGGTGACTCTGGACTAAGTTTTCTCGGAAAAAATGCGGTGTCACAAAAGTAAACTTTGGGTATACACTGTAGTTTGTGTCTGTTCCATATTTTTAGGCCACCTGAGTAAACTCAGGTGACCTATTGCTATCCGTTTTCGTCCGTCGTCGTTTGTCGTTCGTCGTTTGTCGTGCGTCGTTCCTCGTGTGTTTGAACATTTTCAGCTTCTTCTCTGCAACCACTCAACCAATTTCCACCAAATTTTATATAAAGCATCTATGGGTGAAGGGGAACAAAAATTGTGAATTTCATGGTCCCTGCCCCCCCCCCCCCGGGCGGGCTTGAGGGGTGGGGTCAAACCACTAAAATTAGTGTACTCTTTAAAAAATCTTCTTTACTCCTGGACATCAAGCAGTGAAACTGTTAGCATGAATGTAATGACCATTGAGTCCTCTACGGAAATTGTGAAATTCATGGCCCCAGGGTCAGGGGTTCTAGTGCTAGGGTGGGGCTCTATTGATTATATAGTGAAAATGCATTATTTCTTTTAAAATCTTCTCTGCTCCTGTGTATTAAATAAACTGACGGAGTACATATTTATGATGAGGAAGAATGCCTTTTCCAAAATTGTGAATTTCATGGCCCCAGGGTCAGGGGTTCTAGTGTTAGGGCACGGCTCTATTGATTATATAGAGAAAATGCAGAATTCGTTTGAAAATCTTCTTCTCTGCTGCTGGATATTCAACGAATTAACTTAGTATAAAGTTATGATGAGCAAGAATGCTTCTTCCGAAATTGTGAATTTTATGGCCCCAGGGTCAGGGGTTCTGGTGTTAGGGTGGGACTCTATTGATTATATAGTGAAAATACATTAATTCTTTGAAAATCTTTTTCTCTGCTGCTGAGTATTAAATAAACTAGCTAAGTGTATAGTTATGATGAGTGTAATGTTGCTAGTAAGAACAACACATGATTTCGCTTTGGATGCAAATCTATTACTAATTCATACATAGATAAACAGAGATACAAAATAGCAGAGTTAATATGATATCCTGGGAAAGTATAAACATTTGACCAGTGAGGCGATGGAGTTAAAGATTAAAGCAATTAATGTCTAAAGCATTCAGAGTTCAGCATTAGCAAATATAAACAAACTGCTCGGTTCTGTTTATCATAAACGTTTGCACTTAAACATTACATCCCTCCTTTTGTTTGAAATAGAATTAAATCCCAATGAATGAAAATAGGAATCAAAATAAAGATAAAGATACACAGACACAACACTTATTGTCTAAGTCTAAGTAGATATAAACAGTTACGGCTGGTATTTCCATTAATACACTGTTCTGGTCACTAATTCACTAAGTCCACGATTCACACGCGTATCGATATTTATTATAGTCTACATTTCTTCAATAAGTCTTTTAGGTGCGCGGATTTCTCTCTTAGGACGGATCGGTAACTCACTCGTGGAGTTATCTGTCTTCACAGGTATTTCGTCAACTTCGAGTTCCTCATCCTGATCTGCCTTTTCTTCCAACTTTTTGAAGTGCGACGCGTTTCTTGTAATTGTCTTCTCATCATTCCCGGCTGTGACCATGGTACCTTTAGTCTTTAAAATTTCAAGTGGTTTTGGTTCATACGGGGTTGACAGTTTATTTGATTTTGGTTGTTTTACCAAAACGTTGTCTCCTACTTCTAAATCTATTTCCTTTGCCCGAGAATAGTGATCAGCATGTTGTTTCATTTTTAATTTAGCTTTAATGTCATTTTCTTTCATTTCCGTGTGGATTTCGTATTTTCCTCCTTTGTTTTCGTTAAGAACGTCAACATCGATCTTGGTCCTGATTTTCCGGCTGAATAGAGCTTCAAATGGCGATATTTTTGTGGTACAATGTGGTGTAGCCCTGTAGTTCCTTAGAAATGTAAAAATTTCTTGTTTCCAACTTTTATTTTCCACATTAGCTGCTTTGATTGTTTTCTCAATTGTTCTCATGAATCTTTCGGATTCTGCATTTGCTTTAGGCCATAAAGGGGTAATCTTTCTGTGAGAAAATCCTAAGTATTCCGAATACTGGCGAAATTCTGTTCCATTAAACGGAGGTCCGTTGTCAGTTTTCAGAACTTTAGGTATTCCAAATTCCGCAAATATTTTGTCTAACTTAGGAATAACAGCTTTTGCTGACGTAGACTTAAGAAAATCCACAATCGGATATCTGGAGTACTCATCCATAACAACCATGAGATAATCTCCCGAGGGAAATGGTCCACAAAAATCCATTGACAATTCAGTCCAGGGTCCACTTGGTAAAGGTGACATCTTCAACGGCTCGAGATGTTTTGTTTCTATCGTAACTTGGCAAGGTAAACAGTTCTTTAGTGTCGACTCAACTTGTTTATCAATGCCCGGAAACCAAACTTTTTCCCTTAGCAACGACTTCGTTTTTACGATACCTTGATGTCCTTCGTGTGCTAAACTTATGACGTGTTTTCTGAGTGAGTGTGGAACAAACAGTTTGTCCTTTCGGAGAACTATCCCGGTATCCGAAACAGTCAATTCATCCTTCAGCTTATAGACAGATTGCCAGTGTGGTCTTGTTGATTTCTTGAAAACAGTCCATGATCCACTCCTCACTGCATCTCGAATATCTCGTATCAGTACATCGTTGTCTGAAGCTTTCTGAATTTCATCCAGAGTCATTGATTTCGGGATGTTTGTCTGGACTACAAAATTGATGCAATTTTCAACAGAGAATGATTTATCATTTTCTTGACGAATTGGGTGACGTGAGATATAGTCACTTGGGTTGAACTTTCCAGGTTTGTACTTTATGTGGAAATCATACGGCTGTAGTCTCAATGCCCATCTCTCAATTCTGGCAGGAGGTTTTGATGCAGGGTTTCCAAATATTAATTCCAATGGTTTATGATCTGTCACAAGTTCAAATGTGTTTCCAAGAAGATAAAGGTGAAAATGTTCGCAACTCCAGACAATTGCAAGGCCTTCTCGTTCTGTCTGAGAGTATCGTTGTTCCACTGGAGAAAGCGTTTTACTTCCATAGGAAATAACTTTCCGGTCGCCATTTCCATCAATTTGAGTAAGGATAGCTCCTAGTCCGACGGGACTTGCGTCGACAATGACTTCTGTGCGCCTTGAAGGGTCAAAATAGGACATAACTGCACTACTAGTCAATGCGTCCTTGATATTCTGTATTGCCTGTTCATGCTTCTTTTCCCATGTCCATCGTTGATTCTTTTTGGTCAGTTCACGTAGAGGTTGTGATATTGTGGCGAAGTCCTTGATGAATCGTGCACAGTAATTAGCCATGCCAAGGAAACTGCGCATTTCAGATGCATTTTTGGGATTTTCTGCATGTTTGATTGCCTCAACTTTCTTGGGGTCAGCTGATATTCCATTTTCAGAGAAAATAAATCCAAAGAATTCAAGCTTTCTTTTGTTAAACTCACACTTATCTTTGTTGAGCGTTAGATTTCGTTCCCGCAGTCGAGTTAAAAGCAACTGTAACGAATTGTCGTGTTCCTCCTGGGACTTGCCATACACAATAATATCATCACTTATATTGCGTGTTCCAGGTATTCCTTCAATAGTTTGTTGGATGACCGCCTGAAAAACTTCAGCTGCCGAATTTACTCCGAAAATAAGTCTTTTGTAGCGAAACAGTCCAACATGTGATGAAAATGTTGTGATATATCTCGATTCTGGTGCTAACTCAAGTTGGTGATAGCCTTTGTTTAGGTCAAGTTTAGAGAATATTTTAGCTCCATTCAAATCAGTGACAAGTTCATCGATTGTAGGCATGACATGGCGTTCTCTCAGTATGGCTTTGTTAGCTCTTCTCATGTCAATACAAACTCTCACTTGGTCAGGATTTTTAGGTTTTGGAGCTACTAAAATTGGTGACACCCACGGAGTCGGTCCATCAACTTTTTCTATGATGTCCATTTCTTCCAGTTTCTTTAGCTCTTGTTCTAATTTCTTTCGTCGGTGAAACGGAATTCTGCGATGTGGTTGCGCAACAGGCTTCACTGTTTCGTCAATGTGAAGTTTCACCTGAAAGTCTTTCAGCTTTCCTATCCCCTCAAATCGATCAGCAAATCTCATTAGTATACTGGATTGGTCAGTACGTTCATTTTGGTCTACAGCATTTATCGTAATCGAAATGAGTCCAAGCTTTTGTGCGTCAGCGCAGCTAAGTAAACATTCACTTGCACTTTTCACCACAAGAATTTCAGTGTCGATAATCCTGAGCTTAGATTCTATTTCAGCTCGAAATTTACCTCTTATTGGTAACGCGGCTTTCGTTCCGTAAGCATGAACTTTAGCATTTGATTTTGACAATTTAATTGGTTTCTTGGACTTACTCTTTCAAACGTCGACTCATCCATGACAGTAACACTTGCTCCGGAATCCACCAGCATGTCAACTTTAATCCCATTTATTCTGACATTTGCGATTGGCAAAGATTTTGTTGCATTAAGTTGTAATCCAAAAGCATATTCTTCATCACTACTGTCATTATCCAAATTGTTTATACCAGGTTTCTTTGATTTGGATGTGCGGTTGAAATTTCTTGTATCCTGTTTCTGGCCAGACCTACACTGCTTTGCAAAATGTCCGATTTTCTTGCATTTGTTGCACGCTTTGTCTTTTGCTGGGCAAGGTCTATCTTTATGTGGCCATTCCTTTCCACAATTGCGACACTTACTTGTTGGTTCTCTTTGTTTCCATTGCTTAGACGAATTCACTTTCCTGTTTGCAGCATTTAGATGTACGTCTTGACTCTTATGGTCTTCCATACCGGAGGCTTGGAGTTGTGAGACTTCCATAGCTCTCGCTGAATCTAGGATTTGTTGGAGCGTTAAGTCAGGTTCACGCAACGCTTTGCGTCTCAGACGACTTGACTCACATCCTTGAATAACTTGTGACTTTATTTCCCTATCGACATCTTCGAACTCACAGTTTTCTGCCAATTGTCGCAGTCTCGTATGATAGGAATCCATTATTTCACCTGATTGTTGTTTAGCTTGCCTAAACTTGTATATTTCGAATTCAAGGTTTTTCTTTGGGTTGAAGTGATCCGTCAGTTTTGTCTTAGCTGCATCATAGTCATTTGGTCCACCGGTGTCCGCAAGAGTGTCAAAGATGTTGTAAACTTCGTCTCCACCATAGTGTAAGAGCATTGCCCTTTTGCGATCATTCCTTGTGATTCCCATAGCCAGGACGAAATTTTCAAAACGCTGGATCCATTTTTTCCAGCGCTGTCCTATTGAACTTTGATCTGAGACATCAAACTTCGGAAATGGAGGAAATCCAGTAGCCATTATTGATATTTCTCAGTCAAATTTAATAACCGCTCAAACACTATGTAAAATTATATATCCTCGTCGCCAATGTAATGTTGCTAGTAAGAACAACACATGATTTCGCTTTGGATGCAAATCTATTACTAATTCATACATAGATAAACAGAGATACAAAATAGCAGAGTTAATATGATATCCTGGGAAAGTATAAACATTTGACCAGTGAGGCGATGGAGTTAAAGATTAAAGCAATTAATGTCTAAAGCATTCAGAGTTCAGCATTAGCAAATATAAACAAACTGCTCGGTTCTGTTTATCATAAACGTTTGCACTTAAACATTACGATGAGCAAGAATGTCTCTTTCAAAATTGTGAATTTTAATGGCCTCAGGGTCAGGGGTTCTGGTCTTAGGGTGGGGTTTTATTGATTATATAGTGAAAATACATTATTTCTTTAAAAATCTTCTTCTCTGTTCCTGGGTATTAAATAAACTAATGAAGTACATAGTTATGATGAGGAAGAATGCCTTTGAGAATTTTATGATCCCTGGATCAAGAGTTCTGTTGTTAGGGCGGGGTCTATTGGTTTAATAGAGAAAATGCAGAAATTGTTTGAAAATCTTCTTCCCTGCTCCTGGGTATTAAGCAGATGAACTACCTATATAGCTATGTTGCAACCACTATTGAAATAACGACCACTATTGAAATAATTATATCAATAGTGGTTGAGAGTGCATTTCAATAGCAAACATAGTTAGTAACTACTATTGAAATATGACCACTATTGAAATAATTATATCAATAATGGTTGAGAGTGCATTTCAATAACAAACATAGGTAATTACCAGTATTGAAATACGACCACTATTGAAATAATTATTTCAATAGTGGGTGAGAGTGCATTTCATTATAATAACCATAGGTTTCAACCACTATTGAAATACGAGCACTGCTGAGATAATTATTTAATAGTGGGTGAGAGTGCATTTCAATATGGTAAGCATAGGTTTCAACCACTACTGAAATATACTACCAGCATTGAAAAAAAAAGTCTCACTGCGTCAGCAACTTTTGCAATAATTATTTCAATATGTATTGGATTCATTGTTCAATGCACTATTGAAATAAATAATTTAATCCATATTTAAATTTTTATTTCAAAAGTGAACATTATTTCAATAATGCTTGCAACCTATGTTTGTTATTGAAAGGAATCTCACCCACTATTGAAATGATTATTTCAATAGTGGTCGTATTTCATTAGTGGTTACTATCTATGTTTGTTATTGAAATGCAATCTCACCCACTATTGAAATAATTATTTCAATAGTGGTCGTTTTTCAATAGTGGTTATTACCTATGTTTGTTATTGGAATGCACTCTCAACCACTATTGAAATAATTATTTCAATAGTGGTCGTATTTCAATAATGGTTATTACCTATGTTTGTTATTGAAATGCACTCTCAACCACTACTGATATAATTATTTCAATAGTGGTCATATTTCAATAGTGGTTACTAACTATGTTTGCTATTGAAATGCACTCTCAACCACTATTGATATAATTATTTCAATAGTGGTCGTTATTTCAATAGTGGTTGCAACATAGCTATGATGAGCAAGGGCCATTCTTCCTGAATTGTGATTTTCAACGCCCCTGGGTCAGGGGTACCATAGAGGGCGGGGGGGGGGGGCTCTACTTATATACTGAAAATGAATTAATTGATTGAAATCAGGGATGGGGTAATGGTAATGTGTAATGGTAATTGACTGTAATTGATTACAAATTTCGATGTAATTGAAAGTAATGTGTAATTGACCAAATTTTCAATTTCAAGTAATGGTAATTTAATTAATTACTTTCCAAAAAGGCATGTAATTCACAATTACTTTTCAATTACATTCAATTACAATGATTTTTTTTTTTTTAAATGAAAAATAGTTTAATATTAAAAGTTTTTGAAAAGAACTTTCTTTTTTAAGTAATTTGCTGTTTAAATATAATGACCCTTTTAATTTGAAAAAAACCTTTTAAATCAAATTAATCTTTATAAAGTTAACAAATAAAATTTGTATTTTGATTTTTTAATTAATTAATCTGTATAAAAATAAAAAGTCCAATGGCTTCTAATCCTTTTGTTTGCCATATCTTTAACTTGTGTTAGAAGTTATTAACAGGTGCTAATTAGTGCCCTGGGGTCATGTACATATTCCTAAATAAACATTTTTCACACATTTTGACTTCGTCTGTAGGTGTTTTTATACTCTTTGACTTTACAAGTAAATTGTAGTTTGTCACAGAATAAGTCAAATACCCACATTTTGAGATAAACTTATGATGCTGAGATAAGGAAATATTAAGGCAAAAAGCATCAATTGTATGTTAAACATAAACTTATGTGAAAGCTTAAAAATGATTCCAAATTTTTAACACATGGTAAAACCATGAGTAAACTTTCTACGTTGTACTAGTCAGTATCTACATGTATGCATTTTTCTCACAAATACTCCTGACCAGTGGAAAGAATCTTCAGCATGGCAGGAAAATCTTCAAATCTAATAGATATTAGGTTAGGGGACACAGTATTTGGAAAATGTATGAAGATTTTTATAATATTATTGTAAAAAATGTAAAATAATGTTATAAACGTAAAAGAATTTAAATGACTACCGGTATTTACTTTAAAATTTATACGTGTATTCTTGAATGTAATTTGTAATTTAATTAATTACATGTGCAAAGTAATTGTGATTTAATTAATTACATTTCAAAATCCATGTAATGGTAATGGTAATTTAATTGAAGGTTTTGGGAAAGTAATTGTAATTTAATTAATTACTTTCCTATATAATTGGCCCCCCATCCCTGATTGAAATCTTATCCTTTCTATTAATCAAACATTTTTGATAAGCAAAGGTGCCTTTTCCAAAATTGGTGTGGACCAAGGGTCAGGGGTTCATGTGTGGTAGTGGCACTACTGATTATTGCTGAATATTACTGATTAGTCGAAATGCATTTTTAGATCACCTGAGTATACTCAGGTGACCTATTGCTATCCGTTTTCGTCCGTATAGTTGTGCGTCGTTCGTCGTGCATTAACATTTAAACATTTTCAGCTTCTTCTCTGAAACCGCTGAACCAATTTCAACTAATTTTGGCATATAGCATCTATGGGTGAAGGGAAACAAAAATTGTGAATTTCATTGTCCCTTGGGAGTGGGGCCAAAATCACTAGAATTAGTGTAATCTTTAAAAAACCTTCTACTTTACACCTGGACATTAAGCAGTCAAACTGTTGGTATGATTGTAATCAGCATTGAGTCCTCTATCAAAATTGTGAAATTCATGGCCCTAGGGTCAGGGGTTCCAGTGTTAGGGCGGGGCTCTATTGATTATATAGTGAAAATGTATTAATTCTTTGAAAATCTTCTTCTCTGCTCCTAAGCATTATATAACCTAACTAAGTACATAGTTATGATGAGCAAGAGTGCCTCTACCAAAATTGTGAAATTCATGGCCCCAGGGTCAGGGGTTCCAGTGTTAGGGCGGGGCTCTATTGATTATATAGTGAAAATGTATTAATTCTTTGAAAATCTTCTTCTTTGCTCCTAAGCATTATATAACCTAACTAAGTACATAGTTATGATGAGCAAGAGTGCCTCTACCAAAATTGTGAAATTCATGGCCCCAGGGTCAGGGGTTCCAGTGTTAGGGTGGGGCTCTATTGATTATATAGTGAAAATGTATTAATTCTTTGAAAATCTTCTTCTCTGCTCCTAAGTATTATATAGCCTAACTAAGTACATATACTCACCGTCAATAGAAACGCAACACCCTAATTTAGGGGGTGAAAATTATGTACGGGATATACCTATGTACCAGAAAAGTTAGGACATCTTTTACTTTGCCAAATCAGTTATTTAACTGTTGAATGATTTTTATTCCATTACCAGAAGTTGATTTTTAGCCCTCTGAACAGAAATCAAACATTAGCATTTTAAATAAAGTTATTGACTATATTTTGAGTTTTCAAGATTTTGTTCCTGTTAATCATAAGTCTTGAACTAAAAATACGGAAAAAAATATCCTTCTTTCTTTTCCGAATGTAATGCCTGTATTTCCTCAAACTAACTGAAAGCACGCATTTTCATTGCTAATGTTGGAAATTCTCAAAATAAAGAAAAGGGACACTGGGTGAAAAAAGTGGTTTCCCATCATGGGAAACTTTATGGAAACCACAAGGAAACCTCAAGTTTACATCATGTTTCCCAGTGGTTTCCGCAGCGGATGCCAGGTTATTCCGCCAAGTTTCCGTGACACGGAAACCCCCTATGCTCCAATTCCATAAGGTATCCCGAACCACGGAAACCTCTGTAAACCTGAAGTTTCCCAAAACATCCATGTAGTTTCCCGTAATGGGAAACCTAAAGATTCCACTGGTTTCCAGAATCAGGAAACTTGATGGAATCGGAGCGTAGGGGGTTTCCGTGGAATGGAAACTTGGTGGAATCTTTAGGTTTCCTTTTACGGGAAACTACATGGAAGCTCGGGAAACCTCACCATTCCTATAGTTTCCGTGACTCAGGAAACCATATGGAATCGGAGCGTAGTGGTTTCCGTGGGATGGAAACTTGGTGGAATCTTAAGGTTTCCTTTTTAAGGAAACTACATGGAAGCTTGGGAAACCTCATGATTCCTAAAGTTTCCGTGACTCAGGAAACCACAGGGAATCGGAGTGTAGTGGTTTCCGTGGAATGGAAACTTGATGGAATCTTAAGGTTTCCTATTATGGGAAACTACATGGAACCTCGTGAAACCTTACGTTTCCTAAAGTTTCCTTGACTCAGGAAACTATATGGAACTTGTGTAGCAGTTTCTGTGTGGCGGAAACTTGGTGGAATTATCTGGAGTCCCATTCCTGGTTGAAGTTACTGGGAAACTTCAAGATTCCCCAACTTTTCTTAAGGAAGTGATGTGAAATTATGTGTATTCTTTCAAAAATCTATCAAAAAAAT